ACAGAGTGTTGCTTTTTGCCTAGGCTGGAGTGCAATGGTACAATCTTGGCTCACTGTAACCTCTGCTTCCTGGGTTCAAGTGATTCTTCTGCCTCAGAATCCCAAGTAGCTGGGATTACAGGTGCCCACCACCATGCCTAGCTAATTTTGTATTTTTAGTGGACACGGGATTTTACCAAGTTGGCCAGGTTGGTCTTCAACTCCTAATCTCAGGTGATGCACCCACCTCGGCCTCCCAAAATGCTGAGATTACAGGCATAAGCCACTGCGCCTGGCCCTGCCATGACTTTTAAACAGTTTCAGTTTCTTAATGGGAATCTCTGGAGAAACCTAGGAAGCTTAAGGTTCTGTCCAGTATTTTGAATTCTGACCTTCTTGTGCCTTCAATGATTGTTCGTAGACACTGCTTGAAAACGTCTTCAAATGGACTTGTCAGTAGACAGTTCTGCAGCAAAGGAAAGGAGATCGATTTAGAAGGCAGATGTTTGGTGTTTACTCACTTGTTTAACACCGTTAGGTCACCCACAGATGCCAGCTGTTGTGCTACAAGCTGAAGGAGATGCAAAGAAGAAGATGTGGTCTTTGTCTTAAGGAGCTAAGTCTGCTCAAAGGCAGGAGAGGGGATGTGGGAATGAATCCTCTTGAATGCAATCTGAGAGAGACTAAAAGGAAGGGTGCTTTGAAATATTTTCCGTGGAAGGTAAAACATCATGAGACAAAGGATCAGAGGTTCCAGACCTCAGCCATGGAGATGTCCCAGCAAGGCCCATTCGTGTTTTATGCAAAGGACAGCAAGATATGAGTTATAAGCTTGGCCAGGATAGGTACTTTCACAGGGCAGCCTGTGACTCAGCACCTGCATTTGTGCTAGTGCTCTTGTGCCCGAGCACTAGGCAACACAAACAAAGGAACACTGGTACTGATATAGTTATATGTACCTCCCCTAGCTTCCAGACAGCCTTATATTCTAGTGCAAGGAAACCCTCGGATTCAAGATCTTTATTAATAAAGTGCCCTGCTAAAATGATTTTCTGATTAGCCACAGGAATTAATGTGTTTGTTACAGATGTGGGATAAAGTGGGATAAACACTAAAAAATGAAAAGTGAGAGCCTGACTGAATGCAAGTACCCAGGAGCCCTTCCCGCCCCAGCCTGAGTCACTTACCTCCACTTGTTCATGCTTAGCATCCAGGAAAGGGCCAAACTGCAAGGTGAGAAACAAAGACACCAAAAGAACAAATCAGAATCACATGTGTCTGTGAATGACTTCAGCTCACCTCTTCTGACAGTTCTCTGCCCAGGGCCCATGTATCCCTCCAAGGCTGCCTGCAGAGCCTGGGGACAGCTAGCATATGGGCTGGCGGGGGCACCAAGCCAATTTCACAGGCAGAAGCATGTGTGCCCCAGATGGAGGGAGGCTCCCAGGGCCCCATAACCGGCACTACTGCCCCCTATAACATTGGGTTCACGGCTGTAATCATGTAGTGGTTCATGGCTGTAATCACGCATTGGTTCATGGCTGTAATCACGCATTGGCTCATGCCTGTAATTCTAGCACTTTGGGAGGCTGAGGTGGGCAGGCTGCCTGAGCCCAGGAATTCAAGACCAGCCTGGGCAATATGGTGAAACCTTGTCTCTACAAAAAATACAAAAATTAGGCATGGTGGCATGTGCCTGTAGTCCAAGCTATTGGGAAGACTGAGGCAGGGAGGACAGGGTAGGATCACTTGAGCCCAGGAGATGGAGGCTACAGTGAGCTGCGATTGCGCCATTGCACTCCAGCCTAGGTGACAGTCTTGCTCTGCCTCAAAAAAAAAAAAAAAAAATACACACTGGACTTTTTTCTGACTTTCTAAACTTAGCAAGGGAAATTGACCACCACACTAACAGTATTTCGAGCTTTAAAAAGAGATTAGTTCAGAAGTTGTAGTAATGAGAAAGCGGTAAGAATGCTGTAAAATCAATGAAGGGCGGTAAAAAAAAAAAGTTGAACTTTTATTTATTATTATTATTATTTTTTGAGATGGAGTCCTGCTGTGTTGCCCAGGCTGGAGGGCAGTAGTGCAATCTTGGCTCACTGCAACCTCCGCCTCCCAGGTTCAAGCGATTCTGTTGCCTCAGCCTACCGAGTAGCCAGGAGTACAGGTGCCTGCCACCATACCCGGCTAATTTTTCTGTATTTTTAGTAGAGACAGGGTTTCACTATGTTGGCCAAGCTGATTTAGAACTCCTGCCCTCAAGTGATCCACATACCTCAGCCTCCCAAAGTGCTAGGATTATAGGCGTGAGCCACTGCGTCTAGCCAAAGTTGGGTTTTTAAATTTAGTGAAGGCCTATAGATCATGTATACCTCTCCGAAGACATAATGAATGAAAAGATATTTTCTAAAAGGAGGAAGGACTGACATGCTTCCTAAAAATTTAGAACTGCATTAAAAACGTTTTCCAAGGCCATCTCCTCAGCTTTCCCACTGGTGCGTCTTACCAGGATGCAGACATCTGGCCGGTCATGGTTGATGACAGCAATCAGGTCGAGGAGGGGGTCATATGTGATGCTGTCAGATGTGGTGTATGGCCCACAGGCAACCAGCACCATCGTTTGCTCAAAGTCTAAGACAGAGGATTGTGGGTCTTGATTAGAAGAGGACTGGCATTAGAATGGTGGGAGGAGAAAGGACAATTAGGGGAAAATGCCACAGGATTCAACTCATTGAGTCCTTTATGTGTGCAACTCTAGGGACCCAAGGTGAGGAAGACCTCAGGTCCATCCTCCAAGAACACTCCACTAGGTGGTATAGGCAGAGACAGGCAGGTACGCCAATACCTGGAACATGCAGTCAGCACTTTACGAGCAGTGCACATGAAAGATTCCAGGAAAGTGGCAGTCAGAAAGAATGTACAAGGTAGGATTTGCTTACATTTTTGAGAATTTTGGGGGATCAAGGGCAAGGCAGGGTATAGAACAGCACTGAGACCTGGGTGTGGTCAGTGTTAGGAAATGTCTGGTGGTCCAGTGTGGCTGGAGAATGGAGGGTACTGAAGAGCCCAGAGAGGCTTGCTGGAGTCAAAGGCCTGGAACCAGAGACTCCAGGGTGACGAGGTACAGGGGCCACCTATCACGCTTTGCCCTTTGTCTAACAGCAGCTGCTTTCCTTTTGGAGAATCAGCCCTCCCCTCCACAAGGCAGTCCACACAGGGCTGTAAATTGGGTGCTCTGTCTTCCTCTAGCCAAGGGCAGGCACATGACCCAGTTTTGGCCATTCACACTCTCCTCCCAGGGTCTGCAATCTTGAGGTGAACTATCCAAGGAGAGAAAAAAGGTTGGAGCTACTATTCCAGGCGAGGTGCCCAGATGAGACAGCAGGGGAATTCCTGCTACCTAGATGCTAGAGTCCCTGGGCTCTCATCCCGGTTCCAAGCCTGGGTTTCTAGCCACTTGTCCAGTCTGTGAGCTATCTGGATCTCCCCTAATAAATTCATGCTTTCTTATTAGTCTGAGCCAGTGTCTGTAGCTTACAACCATGAAATCCAAAGATCCCTGGCTTCTTAATATGCTACTGTTTAGTTTCTTGTTGTTGCTATAGCAAGTTATCACAAACATAGTGCCCTAAAACAACACAATTCTGGCCAGGTGTGGTGGCTCAAAGCCTGTAATTCTGGCACTTGGAGAGGCTAAGGTGGGAGGATCCCTTGAGCTTAGGAGGTCGAGACCAGCCTGGGCAACATGGTGAAACCCTGTTTCTACAAAAATTAGCTGGGCATGGTAGTGTGCACCTCCTGGGAGGCTGAAGTGGGAGGATTGCTTGAGCCTGGGAGGTTGAGGCTGCAGTGAGCTGTGATCATGCCACTGTTCACCAGCAAGACTCTGTCTCATTTAAAAAAAAAAGCCCATGAATTTATTATCTTACAGTTCCGGAGGTCAAAAATCCTAAAATGAAGGTGTGGACAGGGCTGAGTTCCTTCTGTCTGGAGGTTCTAGGGAGGAATCTATTTCCTTGCCTTTTCCAGCTTACAGAGGCCACCTCCATTCCCTGGTTCATGGCGCCATCTTCATCGGCAAAGCCAGAAGCCTACCATTTCTCTCTTTTATTTTTAAATAAAATTTTTCTTTTTTTAAAAAAAATTTTTTTTAAAGATGGGGTTTCACCATGTTGGCCAGGCTGGTCTCAAACCCCTGACCTCAAGTGATCCATCCACCTCGGCCTCCCGAAGTGTTGGGATTATAGGCGTGAGCCACCACGCCCAGCAAATAAAATTTTTCTTTAGGCTTCCTCAAATCACAGCTGCTTAATATTGCTAAGGTCTGACTCTGATTCTCTTGCCATTCCTCTTATAAGGCCCCTTGTGATTATAGTGGGCCCACCTGATAATCCAGGCTAATTCCCCCATCTCAACAGCCTTAACTTAATCACACGGGCAAAAAGTCTCCTTTACCACATAAGGTAAAATATTCACCGGTTCCAGGGATTCCTCGGGCTACGATTCAGTCTACCATAGCAATAATACATGAATTGAGACACAGCCTTCAAGGGGAAGAGTCAGTTTCACATGGTGGTGGGGTAGGGGGACAAGGTTAAGTTTGGCTCTGAGAAGCCTACAGGAGATGTAAACCCCAGTGTCAGCAATGAGTGCTTGGAGAGCGAGGGCCATGTCTTATTCTGTACCTCCATGAGTGCCTTGTTTAAGTTCTTGTACAAAAGAAGTTCATTAACAACCTGTTAAACTGCTTCCAAAGGCTTCCCTGGTATATAACTTAGGCTCTTGGTATCTTAGCCAGGTTGATTTCATTACCTGAAGTTGATCTGATTAGCTAGGACTACAGGCACGCGCCACCGACCAGCTAATTTTTTTTTTATTTTTAGTAGAGACAGGGTCTTCCTGTGTTGCCCAGGCTAGTCTCCAACTCCTGGGATCAGGTGATCCTCCCACCTTGGCCTCCCAAAGTGCTGGGAATACAGGTGTGAGCCACCATGTCCAGCCCACACTGCATGTAAAAAAATTCTTTTTGATATCGTACATCTTTTTCCTTTCCAAGATAATCTTCAAAAATACTCGTTAAACATTAGTCTTTAAACAACATGCTTCATGTAGGCAGAGCTCAGGCAACAGGTCGACCAATGCTCATTGGGCTCAGACCAGGGGTCTTGTGACAAAAAGCCTACAAACTCACTGACGGAGGTGCCCTCACCAGTTGGTCATATCGCTCTTCAGCAGCTTCTGCAGCTTTCTTCAGCTCGGGAAATTGTACTCCTGGACTCACGTCCATCACCTTCATTGTTGGGAAAATAATATTTGAACCAAAACTTACCTCCATCCTCTTCGGTGGGCTGATAAAATGGAAGTGCCACACCCTAAAAACAGGGTAAAAGCTCAAGTAAGGTCTTGCGCCAGGCATAGCCTTGGTAAGGAAAGGGGAGGGCACCGGGTTGGGGGTGGTGCAGGTGTGTGATGGGAGGACAGTGGGGAGGAGCCAGAAGGCAGCAGAAGGATGTGCCTCTGTCTTGCTCCTTGGATCTGATGGGAACTGCCACTTTTCAATACTGCTCAGAGGAGAAAGAAACCCAGGCAATGGGAGGTCACTACTCAACTGTCATAAAACACCCAGCAATAAGTGGGAGCAAAACAGGTGCCTGAAGTATCAGTGTACTTCTAGGCAAGGATGGGAGAGAAGGGTGTCTTGCTACTTTTCCTGGCATTCTATGAAAATCTCTGGAGGATTGTTGTCTAGAGCAGGGATACATGAGCTTATGCCTCTGAGCCAAATCTGGCTGCAGCCCACTATTTAAATCAAGTTTTATTGGAACACAGCCATAGTCATCTGTTTAAGAGTCCTCTAGGGCTGCTTTTGTAAGATAAAGGCAGAGTTGAGTCATTGTGATAGAGACCTCACCGCTACAAAGTCTAAAAGAGATACTGCTGGCCCTTTACAGAAAGACACCCCTGGCCTAGGGGTGGGCTCCCACTTATAGATGGAGAACTGACTAACAAATAAATGGGCTCCTAAAAAGGACCAGTTTCTAGAACACACAGCTTCATACTTTGACTGAAGCAAACCAAGAGGCAAGTGGGGGTACCGCTGTGTACCTCGTACAGCTTGGTGGCAACAAGTTTCCTACCAGTGGTGTTGATTCCTTCCATAATTACAACCTGAAAGACAAGAAACAAACAGGATTGCTAAGCAGTAGACATCAATGAAATCTGGAATATATTATTTTGAGGCAATTAAAAGCATTGTCCAACTACTCTCATTTTGTAATTGTAAACTTGGGGCATTTTTCTAGAAAACAAATTAAGGGCGTTGCATTAGCAATAATAATTATGCTCTATATTAGTGATCTAATATTCACCACAATCCTATGAGGTAAGAATTATTATTTCCATTTTGTGAATGAAGACGCTGTGGCTTAGATGGTTAAGTACCTTGCCCACAGCCACGCACCTCGTGGAGTGGAGTTGGGATTTGAGGCCGGGCAGTCGGGTCCCAGAGCCTCAGTGAGAGCATGGGGGAAATGAGAATCCCAACAATGGTGTCTGCCAGGGCATGTGCTCCAGTCACACACCACGGCAGCAGAGACAGGAACTGAGGAGCAGCCGCGCATGGCACAGCATGTACACTACAGGTGTAAAGAGTGCGCCTGCATCCTGGTGGAACTCCTCCCATCTCACCTGTCCGGGAAACAGAGAATATTCCTTAAGTTCAGATAAATCCACTGGAATTTGAGCACCTGAGGAATGTTCCCGGTCTCCCTCGAGAATCACTGACTTATTGTTCAGCTTCCCGTTGCTATCACAGCCAATCTGGCCCAGTAGAGTGACAAGCTCCTACCAAAGGAAGGTCACAGCATAAGAATGACAGTCTTTGGAGCAGGAGCTCAAAATCTGATGTCAACAGGGTGAATAGCAAAACAAACTGCAAACAACAAATACATTTTTTTTGGCAGGGCATTGCTTTGACCCTGAGGTGACGACAGCATCATCACTGACTCTCAGGGTGGAAGAGCTCTGAATGGGCATCTTGTCCACCCACCCATATAGCACTTGAGCCCTCCTAGGAGGCTGCCTAAGAGTGAGCATCCCTAGTGCAGGGGAACTTGCCTCTGGGTGACCACCCCACCCCATCCTCACCACCCCAGAGCAGCCCACTGTCTTTGGACAGCTATAACTACTTAATAATAGCTAACGTTTCTTGAGCTTACTAAATACCATGTACTCTTCTAAAATGTACTCTTATGCATTTTATATGTATTAACTCATTTAATCCTCACAACCACCATCAAGTGGACATTATTATACCCATTTTACAGATGAGGAAAACAAGCAACAGAGAGGTTAAATGATTTAGTCAAGGTGGGTGAAGCTTAGGTTTGAGCCCAGAAATTTGGCTCCAGAGCCATATATTTAGCCACATACCATACAGCCTCTTAACAAGAAGTTCTTTATTAAACTGAGCTAAAATCTATCTCCCCATGGCTTCCTTTGTTCTGTTCCTGCTCTTGGGAGAAAAGAGGAAGTCTCATCTTTCCCATGTGATTATGCATCCCTGCCTTCCCTCAATAACTTCCTTCCAAGTCCTCCAAAACTTCCTTCTATGACACAGTTCTGCATCACTTCCCCAACTGGTCATTCTTTCAATGTAAACATTGACAAAGGTACTTTAAAGAAACTTCTAGAACACATTTCCCCTTAGATTAGAAAATGTTCTAGAGAGAAAGCACTGGTACATATACCAGATTAAACTATGATATAAAGATACTACTGGCAGCAGTTTGTCTATAACAAGAGACTAAAAAACCAGGGGAGACTGTGAGTCACTGCCTAGAGAACAAGACTCTGAAAACCCCTCCCTCGCTGCTGTCCTTTTATCTCAATACTTGAATGCTTCTATTTGTGGGAAATCCCCGGGGAGCTACCTGTCTCGCCACCAAGGGAAACAAGGCCTTCAGTCTCTGCTTATGTGCAAGACCCTAATCCAGGTGGGAAGAAAATAATGCACTGTCACAAAACCAGACAGCACTTACAAATCTTTCTTCAGAAGGGCCCATTTTCCCAAATTCAACCAAGATCGATGTTCAAACTAGAACACAGACAAGAAGTGAAAAAGGAAGCAACAAGGGTGCCTCTTGGTCATCAATTTTAAAATTTAATATTAATTAGTAAGAACTATTGGAACAACTCTTACCTGTGCTGGGGCTAGCAAAGGAGTGAAAGCCTCAATCTTGTAATGTTCCTTGAGTTCACTGCCAAGTTCTTCTATCTTACAGGTCAGAACTGCAATCCCAGAAGTGGAAAAAAATTATTATGTTTAAGACATTTCACTTGCCAAGAAGAGAAAATACAGCACATTGTAAAATATTAAAGTCAGTCATGTTATAGAAGCAGGAAGGGTGCCTGCGACATCTGGCCAGTTTAAACCTTCTAAAACCCTTGCCAATTTCCCGATATTTGGTTGCTGAATCTGGCCTTCCATCTGGCCACAGGAGACCCCATAGC